AGGCAGCAGGGAGCGCGCTCGGCCGCCGGCACCTCCGCGGCGCGGCCTGGAGCTCCTGCGTTGCTCCAGAGCGCACGAGGGGCTCTTAATGGGGGAGGCTGGATCTCTGCATCTGTAATCAGGATAATTACTTATTTCTTTTAATCACAGCCCACTTAACCACTTCAGTGCAAAGGGCTGGCCTGAGGAGTCTCATTTTCATTCAGCATCTAATCTTCGTATTTACCCAAAGTCCTTCATTGGCTCCATTCACTGTCTGATCTCTGGAGGGGCCATTGATTCGTACAGTGAGGACCGAAGAAAATGCAGGTTGACTGGAGGAGCAGACTTGATGATAACTTGTAGTTTTTAAGACCTCTCCTTTCGTCTACTTCCGCAACAGGGCTAACAACCTCAAAATAGCTATAGAGCATGCACAGAAATTGCTTGGCTGCGGGTAGCAAAGGCCTTTTCCAAGCCTAATAGAAAGCAGGCAGGAAAGGCCATTGTCTGCTTTTGGGTGCGCTGCAAACTCCAGTTCCCACCGCCGCACAAGTCACTATTTTTGTGTTGGGAAGAATCATCATTAAGTGGCTCTTTGATCGGCATCAAGGCTGGGAGAGGCAAGTGGAGTGAACTCAAATTCTTTTTAGCCTCTCTCGGTCTCTAGAGACTGAGTCCCTGGGGCACGTGTTTTCTGTCACTTCCGCTTAACCTCAGCAAGTCACAGTGTGCCCATGGGCTGACCCTGGCCTTGTGCGGCTGCCAAAACAGCTTCTTGGAGAAGACGAATTCAGCCCATCCTATTCTCACATCATTCTGGGGCTACTGTCGAGGTTAAAAAGGGCACACGGTAGTATGAATGGAGGGCTTCGCAGCCACGTTAACGCTGCCTGCAGACAGGACATGCCACGTCCGCCTGCAGCAGAAGGGTGTCACGCAGAAGATACTTTGATGACCACCACGGTCTCACGCATAAACACTGGCCGTGTACAACAGAGAAGGAGAAGCAGGGCAAACACTGCTCAGAACCGTCCTACTGGAACACAGAAAGTGCTGGTTCAGACGGACTGATGGTCTCACCCGGTATAATAGTATCTCCCTCCCTGTCAAATGACTGCAGCAGACGCCTGTCCTGCTATTTCAGCGCCAGCCTTTTGTGGGCCCTCAGGAGGGAGGTGCAAACCTACCAGAACACCCTGGTCAACTGTGCAATCCCTCCCAGAGATAAGCACGGAGCTCCTCCTGACTCAACACTGGAGATGAGGAAAGGAATGAGACAGAAGACAAACATCACCAGGAAGACATATTAACCCTTCCGATACTTGAACTGAACAGAACTCGGTTGCGTTCTCAGGGACGCAATGAATTTTGTACTCTGAAATCCACATGATCATGGTCACATTAACAGCTTTCATGCCAGGAAAGCTTATACCCAGGCCCAAGTTTTCCTTTTGAGCTCTCATGCCCTTAGTTGGCACACACAAAACACTTTTTAATTCCAAAGAAAATGATTTTCCAATTTTGGAGATTAAAAAAATAAATAAATATATAATTTTATCTATAAAATGAAGATTATTCCTTACTCCCTAAGAATTCAGGAGGGGCTGGACAGACCTCCCAGCCTCAGTGAAAACTGGTCCTCGCTTGGAGAAGCATCTTGCTGTGCTCGGAACAGGAGACATTTTAAACCCTAAAGTCGCCACGTAGTCGTCAGCATCTCTTAATTAAAAGCGAATAAAATCACGCAGTCACAAAAGCCATCTGCACGGCAGGGACAACATCCAGGGACGCAGCGTTTCCCCACAGAAGGGCTTTCCACCTTCACCAGCCCGGCGTGCGGTCCCTAACGCAGCGGTGGCTGCAGCGCCAGCCACACGCACATGCCAGACGCGGGAGTTAGCTCAGCAGACGATACCTGTCTGTTGTGACACACGTACCACAGCAGCGAGAGCCAACGGCGAGTACACTCTACAGACCTGAAATTCGTGCATACATGTATTTTAGGTAAGAATTAAGAGATATATATATATTTTTAAAGTGTGACCAATGCAAATCCATAAACAACCCTCACAGCAGTTGTCACCACAGCAGTCGGTGGCCTGAAAGGATGTCCCCAAGCAGAGATGGTCTTGAGGCCCTGCCTGTCGTCTGAATCCTGAAAACATTGCCTGCAAATGATGTTGTTTTCTATTTATCTATTTTCTATTTGTTTATTCAAAAAGGAAAAAAAAAGTGAGGAAAGTCCTGTTTTAGCACAATAAATAGGCAGTCAGGAGTATAAAAGTCAAGGGCCACACAGCTGACATAAACGATCCCATCTGGTTTGATGCCAGAGCCACAACTGACCCTCAAACAAGACAAGAAATTATCTCTTCTTCAAAAACGTCCCTGCTTCAGCAGGTTAATCAAGGATGCTCATGGTCAAGATGTGTATATATATACACCTATGTATAGACATATAAATATATAAATCCTCAACCTATAAAATATAAATCTATAAATACATAAAATCATGTACGCATGTATGAATATATGAATAAATAGGATATTTTAAAAGTCAGAAGCATTGCTTAGGAAAGAGCTCATGTGTCTTTCCACAAGGCTCCCACAACGTCTGCAAGGAACAATTTGGAGCAACTCAAAACTGCTCATCAAAGCACACAGCGAAAATCCTGCCCGGGCTCTCACGGGCGTTATCACCCCAATGCAGCCGTAGGTTCTCTCAGCCTGGGAAAAGCAGCGCTGGGAACCCTTCCGAATCCTGCCTCTAGCCTCTCCCAACCTGTAACGGCCCCTGAAACACACTGTAAGAAAACAGATTGCTCTGTCTATGTGTTGTGGGAAGTAAGCAAACATACTTCCAAGAATTAAACAGCACACAACAACAAATCAGTAATATTGGAAAAATCAGAGAGCAGCCAAAGCAGATTCTCATTTTAAGGAAGCTACAAAAGCTCGTTCTTCAGAAGCCAGTTCCTGGTCTATTGAAACAGAAATAACCGAGCCCGCCTCCTTTAGACCGAGGAGACTCATCATTCCACAAACGCTCCAAGACAGCCACAGTCTCAAAACTCGCATCCACCGAAAAGCTCTATTTTGACAGTCACTGATGGCAGGAGCAGGGATGAGATGTCCTTATTTCTCAGACAAACAAAATATGTCTTTTTATTTTTAAGGTCACAGTGTATCTATTTCTCCCTTCCTAACCTCCTCCCCCAAGCGAAGCTGTGGCATCAGGCAAGAAGAGAGGATTCACACCAGGGAAGAGCTGCGGTTGCGAGAGCTCTGATACAGCGATAGCCCTTGCAGTAAAAATAGAAAGCGTGTCACTTGGGAAGTGAAATAGCTACTGAGAAAAAGAGCGAGCTAAAAAAATAACCAAAATGCTATGAACCCAACATGTTGGGCAGTGAGTCAGTCCCTGGAACAGGCCTGACCCTGGACAGTAATCTGAATTCCCTGCAGAAGTTCTGGAATGCTTCTCACCACAGCTACGAGCTTGGGCAGAGGGTTACCTGCAAGGCGTTGCCGTTATTTGCACGTCTCTTTGCGAGTCAGGTTAAGAACACCAGGCAGGTCTTCCGAAGGAGCGCCAGCACGAGGCTCGAGCGCGCCTGGCTGCCTGGTGGCAGCAAGGGAAGGCGCTTTTGCTCGGGGACGTCGCACAGCGCTGCGTAAAGAGGAACCCCCCGGGCGAGAGCTCCCTGCCACGGTGCGGGCCGTGCGGAAGGGCGCTTCTTCGGGACAAAGATCCCACTCTCATGCTGTTTCCCTCCCCCGAGATTAGGCCAGTTATTTAGACCCCGACTAAGGTGCTGATCCCCTTCCGCCAGCTCCATCCAACCGCGCAGCTGTGGCGACAAGTCACGGGAAGGTTTGCATCTCTCAAAGAAGTAGCAGCAGTTTAAAACTGCTTCACATACTAATACTAATGCTGCATATTTTGAGCAAAACTACCACGCAGACTAGGCAGCTTAGCTACCACCCAGCGACTGCGCAGGTCCACGGGGGAAGTTCCCTCCCAGTTTCTAACTACTGCTTAGTGCACATTTCCCACCAGCACCAGGCTGGGGCAAGCTCTGCTCCACATGTTGGAGGCACAGGAGAGCGCGGGGAGCTCCTGCCCCTCGGGTGCACGGAGCGGGCCCGGCTCGGCGCTCCCCAGCGCCCCGAGCACACTGTGACGCGCTCAAAACCCTAACGGCCTGGGAAGAAAAACCCAGCAGTGCTTTATTCCAGCCTGGTCTTGACACAGGACAGGACCAGCATGCTGCGCTGAACTAACTGAAAACGTTTTTTAAACTGCGAGCACAAATAGCTAAGCCGCCTTTTTGGCGGTTCAACAGAACGCACACTGAGAATGTTTACTTGAGATTTCATACAACTCCTTTCGCACAGAGCTTTTACATCTGTTGCTAATGATATCAAATTATTGATTGTTCACTTTCTTATTTTTATTTAAACATTAAGTATATACTCTGCAACTTTTTCATTTTTTTTTCCAAAGAACTTTTTATTTTTGCATGGCTTCAGTTGTAATTACTTTGATCTTGCAGAGTGTATAATTATTTTACTGTTTATTTATTTCGATGAGAAAGGAAAAAAGTTCGACCCAGAAGATCTATCTGTGGCAATTTGTAACAGAATCACATAGCTTATGTTTAGGAAATCATGGTTTTGATTAAGAAGCAACCATTTAGTTCCCACTGTTTTATTAAAACAGACATTAGCAGATAATAGGAAACACATTTAACACTGTAGGCTGCATTTAGTTTGCAACATCAATAAAGCTATTTTGAAGCCCCTTCCTATTTTGCATTCACCACAGCTCATGTGAACCACTTTTTTGCTTTTACTTTCTAATAACCAGCTCTAGACTTAAACATGGGTGCTGGTCCCAGAGACTCTAAATTACACTTCTACCCAGTCGATCCAGGTTACAGCCCCAAAAGCCAACTGCGGCGTCATCCACCCACCTTTCTGAGAAGCACTATTCTTCCTTAAGGGGAAGAATGACGACTGCAGCGGGGGACCCAGTTCACTGCTTCTGCACATTGTCCTCTAGCAGTATTTGGCTACGGACAGAAGCAAAACAGCACGAAAGGGAGGTGCTGAGAAATGAAACCCGCCCGAGGAGGTGCAGCAGGGAGCCAGGGGGCCCAAGTGCCCTGGCTGTTTATTCCCCAGGCACCAAGGTACCTGCCACAGCGTCTTTGTTTTCCCTCCCACTCATATGGCTGATGAATCAACACTACTTGAACTGCTTTCTAGCAGCTTGTGTTTACTTCACACATACCTTAACCTTCCTTTTTCTCCTCCTACTAACACACGCAGACACTTCCAAACCACAGCGCCCGGCTGGGTCTCTCTGAATAGCGCATACGCAGAGGTATCTGGCAAACTCTTCAGGTTTGGATCCTTGACCTCTTGATTGAGGTCTCATCCTGCTTTTACTGCATGCAACAATTTAGCTGTGCACTTACCAAGGGAAAAAAAAGTAAGAGCTTAAGGAATTCAGTGCTCTCAGGAGGGGAGGCAGCGGCAGCCCGCGCGGGCTGCAAACCCTCGGCGGCTCCAGAGGCATCTCCATGGCTAAGCACCCTCCAGTGAAGGGCTTCCTCGGCAACTGGCATTGCACCCCTGCCCAGTTGGGAAAACAACACAACAAAACACCCTACACCCAGCTCTTTTCTCCTGGAACAACAAGCACAAGCGAACGGCGATGACCTTGAAGCTGTTTGATTCATTTGGTTGCTTTGGAACCAAGAGGACACGGCAGCGCACTTCCAATGAAATTCTTTTATTACGAGCCACTATTCAGAGAAAAGAAAGACTTTTGAGGCGCACAATGGTAGTTTGAGGAGGGGAGAAGCTCTCCGGGTCACTCGGCACCCAGGCACTGTGTACTAGCACGTCCAATGAGCACCTTTACCTCGAGCCTAAATCATTTGAACGGGTGAAAAGCAGCAGCTCAGCATCCTGGCATCCCCTCTCACCCCACACCTGCCTCAACCATCCTCCTTGTAGCCACCAGCAATTCCACCACGCGACGTCCTCCTTTCCACAGCACCAGGCGGGGGTATTTGAAACAGAAAGCACAGGCACACATAACTTTGGAAGAAGTTCTTTAGCTTTCATGAATGAAATATAACTAAGGCAATTTACATAGCAATTTCACTTCTAAGGCCTGAGCTACTGTGTTTTGCAAAATGTTTTAGCTTAACCCAAAACACAGTTCATCTTCAACACAGCTAACTGGGGTATTACAAGCTGGCTTTAAGGGGCCTGCATTTCCACATGAGCCTTGATTGTAAAGCATCTAATCTAATTTCTTATGTGCTGCGACTGTGCCCTCTTTGCAGACACATTCACTAATATCATTAAACCTTATTAGCACTTTTACTTAGAGCAAATAATCTCAAACTGTCAGCAGAAGTTCGAGAACTTGAAAAGAAACAACAAAAAAAGCAATTTACCTTTAATCTTCTTGTACTTCTTGTACCATCTCCCAAACTCCTGGCACTTGGTTGCTGACACATTGGCATAGTATGTGCTATTTACAATGGATGAAATCATACTCTGGAAATACAGAAAGAAATACAAAAGTGTTTTAAAATAACCTGCGCAATTAGAAGTCTTCCTGGGAAAGCGAACCAAATGCAAGCACACGCCACCATCCATTTGGGACCTGAGAGCCAAAAGCAGTGCCTGAGGAGGACACAAAATGGATCCAATTCTCTGTTTTACATTTGTGGTACCAGCAAACCTGGACAAGGGGCAGCGTCGTGCTGAGCACAGGCTGATTTGGGGACTACAAGGTGGAGTAAGGCCAGACCCTCGAAGGTATGCAATGCAAACCACGCTTTCAGGTGGCCCTGCTCTGCTTCCACTCGTGGCCAGGAACGGGAGAACCACCCGTGCCACCCGCTGCAGAACAACAGCTAAGGCAAATGAGGTAAATAAGGGCCCTGCGTTTCCACACGAGCCTTGATTGTAAAGTACAATCAGCACAGTAAACTGCCTACTGCTAGTTCTTCCTTTCTTTTTTTCCTTTCTTTCAGTAAAGAGGCTCTTCTGCCTTCTCCCTTTAACTTTCCTGCTTGCACGCCACCCTGGTGCACTGCCGCACGTTCTCAAAGCCATGAAATAAGAGCCTTTCTGAGAGGCCACTTCAATTTCTAAAACTCGGATTCCATTTTCTAATTGAAATCAATATTTTGAGACATAAACCTAGCATCGTGGGAGTCAGCAACAATCCCTTGCCCATAAATCCTGCCCCGTCCCGCGTCGCTCGACCCAGCAGCGGCAGCCAGGGAACGGTGAGGACGGCCCCTGCCGAGGAGAGACCGAGCGCACTGCGCTTTCCTAGCATCATTTTAGTTGAATTTCCTCCACTCGTCAGGCATGCAAGAATCGCTTAGCTCTGGTTACACAACAGCTTCATTTTTCCATCACTTTCTCCCCATTTCTCTAGCTCTACAACAAATGGGTATTAGTGAAATTGGGGCCTATTACATATCACAGACTAAATTAAAGCATTGACTTCATTGGAGAAAGCAAAGTTTAAACTAAAGAGTAAGCTGAAATAGTAAATCCACCAGTGGTGAAAAATCCTAGGACACATTCTCTTCCACTGCTCAACAAGAGATAGGAGTGGGGCAAAATCTGTGACAACCTTCAAACTACAAAGAAAAATATTCCTCCCTTTTAACTGGAAAGAATCCCAGGGGTGTTTCTGTTAGCGGTCTCTCCAAAAGAAATAGCCCCTCAGAAGAACTGAGCAGCACTGAGCAGTTCAAAAAGCTCAAAGGCATTGAGTAGCTGGAAATTTGTAAATAATATATATTTTTCCAGGGAATAAACGTACAGATGGAACAGGTTGTAGGGAGCAGCAGGTACGTCTGCTATAGCGTGGCCGTGCGAGGCACGTGGATGAAAGGGGCCCAGGCCAGCACGTGCGGAGCACCCACACACAGGAACCCAGTGCTGTAAGTCCAGGGGGAAACCCACAGGGCACGGTGTCACCCCACGAAATCTTGCTCCAACAAGGACACAAAGCACACGGGCAACGCCGAGATGACTTACACAACACACAGAGGTCTCTAGGCAAGGATGCAAATGTCTTAGTAATTGGATTTCCTTCCACCACGCACACTCCCCCTATCCACCAGCCACCCCCAGCTTGGGTAACTGGGATTTATTTGTTTGAACAGCAGCCTTATGCTAAGGGCAGCTAGGCTGCAGCCACATAATACACCTAGCAGAAGAAAACAGAACAATTTTAAATCAAAGTGAATGATTGCATTTCCCATTAGGGGCAATCAGGATGCCCATCTGGGCTGCAGGGAGAGCTCCTGCACCGAGGCAGGCGCTGGCGGCGGAGGGAGCTCCCCGCGCTGCCCCTCTCCACGTCCCTACTTGATGCACTGCAAGCACATTAATAAACAGCAGTATTTACTCTGCAGTTCAACTCCTAAGAGGCCACTCTGTAATTTGCTGCTGTCAATAATATATTAACCACAAGGGGGTTGTAATGACATTTCACATTTGGCACGATATTTTTTTTAAAACTGATTTGGGAGAAGGAATTGTATTAGAGGCATATTCAGATGATGGTAATAGACAGCTCCTGTACAACCTTCCATTGTATCCTTTGCATTTTGCGAGACAAAACAAAAGCAACTGAAACTTTTTACAGTAACAATAGTAACAACAGTAATAATAATAACAATAATAATAATGATAATAGAAGCTGTGCTATCACAGTCTTGGTTCAGGGGTTAGTCACCACTCACCAAACATCACTTGTGCTTAAACGTAACAAGTAAGTGCAGTTTTCTCCAGAAGGATGTGCCTTTAGCTTTGCCCACCAAGTAACTACTGGAGCAAGGGCCCTCAGCAGCCCTGCTAACAGGTTTCAGGCTGAGGTTGTGAAGGAGCAAGGCCAGAGGTGCTCGTGTTTCCAGCTGGTATCTCTGGAAGCGCGGGAGGAAGGGGAAGGCCTGGACACGGCGGGAACGTGTGCACATGAAATGATTCACAGCTCAGTTACAGCGGGTGCTCGGCAGACACGGCCACATGCTGCAGTCAGCGTTAGCCGAGCAGAGCCCACAGATGATTCTGTTCACAGAAATTACACTTAAACTGTGTGAAAAGAAAAATACTTTCTTGTATAACACACCTATGATCTGTGTATATCTAAAGTCACCAGTACTCCTTCGGTAAATAAGGCTTTTCCTTACATGCCCTTTCTGTTCTTACCAGTTCTGCAGACCCAACATGATTAACAAAGTCTGCTGGAAAGTGATTCCTACGAGTGCAAAGACCTAATTTCTGCTCTGCATCACACCTCTGCAGCCTCGTGCCTTCCCTTAAGATGCAATTGTAAAACAGCATGGCAAATTTGTCCTGGTTACACCTGAAAAAAATGTCTCTGGTTTTGGGAACCTTTGCCTTGTGCACTGCAATGCAAGACGGGCAGCAAGGGGAGTGTAAATTTTGAATATGGGCCAGCAAATGCAAAGGATTTTTAACAAGTGTGCTTTTTAAGACTGAAGAGACAGATTGACCTAAACTAAGATTCTACTACAATTTTGAAAGGCAACATGTCTCCTGGCCCTAGCAAAGCAGCACCCTGCTGGGTCTGGGTGCTGAAGTGTTCGGGTCTGAAGAACTGCAAAGGGGTCCCAGCCATAAAAACGTCATGAATCTCTTGCTACAAGAATCTGACATACAAATAGAGTTCAGGTTACTAGCAGAAACCTGCTCGGGTTAGGTATAACATCATTGCCACTTATGAAGCAGCCAGGAAGAAGGAGACTGTGAGGTTTTGTTCTTTTTTTAAACATAATTACATGTACATTTTTGTCACTTTTCCCTTGAAATTGGGGCACCACTGTTGCAAATGCATACATTTGCTCATAGTCAGAAACTGGTAAGAGCTACCCCTGGGTTAGTGGGGGAGGAAGGTCTCTGCCAGTGGGAGAAGCCGCTGAAATTTTGCAGTTTCAGATCTTCAAGGCCATTGCAAAAGGTGCAGATAAAGGTCAAGATGAAGAATTTACACCCCTCCGACCAGCAGGATGAAAAGCATCAATATTTTCAACTGGAGACCCACAAATAAAACACAAAGATACTCTTTTTCTTAATTAGCTTTTCTCCTTTCTAAAGGAAACAAGAGTCCAATATTTCTGGAATTATTTAGACAAAGCAATATACTGAACAAATATGGACTCTGGATCTCGTAAACGTGGCCTTCCGTGAGCCTGGTAAAACCACTGACCTGGGAGAGAGGGCATTCTTTGGCTAGTGTGCTCTGATTCATCTCTTTGAGCAGTTCCTTTAAGGCATTGCGAACTGTGGCGTGGTTCCACTGCTCTGCTGGCAAGTCTTCCAACTTTGAGCAACTGTTAAAGCACAAAGCAGATAGAAACAGTAGATCTACGAAGCCAGAAAAGGAGAAATCGCCCGCGCAGACACTACTGCTCGGCCCATGCCCCCAGGTGGGTCCCTCCGCGCGCCCTCCCCGCCACACTGCACTCCCAGCAGACAGGCAGCTCAACCCAAGGAACGGCCATCTCCTCAGGGGCCCCCGGCACAGAGCAAAGCAGCCCTGCGTAGGGGAGGCCGCAGAGACGGCTTTGCAAAGGCACTCTCTCCAGACAGACCATCGGGCTGGTATGGAAAAATAAATACGTACTCTGCATGAACAAAATCACTAAACAATGAGGGTCCTCACTGCGTGGAAGCAAGGCTTTTAGCAGTAGGCCTGAAAAAAACAATTGGATTTCATACAGGTTCTTATGCTGCCCTCGTCTCTAAGGTATCTGAGGGCCTTTCGGAAATGCATTAGGCCATATGCCCAACGTCTGTCCCATGCAGCTCGTTCTCACTTTTGTTCTACAGGAATCGCACAGGCAGCGGAGCCTTCGTCTTCACGTGGCATGTGCTCCTTTTAATTTAACAAGCTCACGGTCTGTGTCCCCGCAGCTGGGACAGACCCAAGCAGCACCCCAGCAGGGTGGGGACAGCCTGTCCTTGTTGCTCGAGCTGCAGATGGGCCCTAACAGCCTCGAGGGCAGCTCTGCTTCCTGCCTGCACAGGCTCTACCCTCCCAGTTGAAAGTTGAGCTGTGCTTGAGGAGCTTGAGTAGTCGGTGATCATCTCTACCTCCAAGTTTCGGGCTGTGTTTATTTACATTGCATCCAGCACTTTGAAGATAACGAACGAGACCTTGATCTTGGGCCGATACCCACTGGTGACACAGAAGTGACAGCAGGCCACACAGTAGCTCAGGTGCCTGGGGACACGAGACACTGCACACTAGACTTGCGCAGGCGCTAGCAGCTCATCTACAGCAGCTTCCTCGAACGTAAAGACAATAACAGTGCATAAAAGCAGGGGCCAGCCTGTTAGCTCAAACACGACCAGAAATCGCAGCAGAAATGCTGCTGTCCGGGAGGCTCCCCACAGCGAGGCACCAGCTACTTCCAAATCGACGTGAGCTGCAGGTGGGTAAGCACCTGCCACCCAGGGACGCCAACGCTCTTCCAAACAGACCTCGGCCTTGTTCAGACTGAGCATCGGGGAACCACCAGCGAATTATTATCCATGATGTTTTGCCTTTCCTCCTTGCCGTGTCCTGGGCATAGAATTAGAGCAGACAGCGTGAGAGATGCTCACCAGTGCTCCTGGGCATTGCCACGGGCCGCCTGCGGCTGCCCACAGCTACACACAGAGCAGTAACTAGCTCAGACCTTCTCCAAGGCCAGTAAAGAGAAAGGCCAGGGAAAAGTGCACAGAGCAGGGAAGAGGGCAGCGTGCTGTACAGGTACCAGCAGCTTTTGCTTTGCCCATCAGAACTAGCAATCAGGGAAGGAAAATATTTTCCAGAGGCCAAATGGAGATGCACTTAATGATCCCTGCCTCACTTCCTTGCTTTTCTGCTGGAAAGACCATGTCCAGCAAAAGGGAAGAGGATAAACTGTTCTCCTCCCCTGTTGCAGCAACCATCAAGAAAAATCACGGATTCTCACAATGTAACCCCTGGAAAAAGGCAAGATGTTGCTTTTCCATATACGCGAGGCCTGAAAGACCCACTAAATTAAGGACTGTGGAAAGATCTGTGGAAAGGCCTGCTTTTAAAGGCCTCAGATCTTTACTCCACCGTTCCGAGTTCCCACCCTCTGCAACCTGCTACCATACTGCTACTTCCAAAAACACACAAAATCTTTTGGACCACGCACCAAAAAGCTGCCAGGTGACCAACCATTCTCTTCACTTTTCTTTTCATTTCATCAAAACCCTAGAAATTAATGAAGACAGGATGTGCTAATCTCTGTAGTAATGCTGTGATTGACGGAGCAGCTCAGAGAATAGGGAAGGACAGATGTTCAGAAACACCCACCTTTGTAATTGGATTTTCAGTGTCACAACATGATAGACATCTTGCAGCATGTCGGCTACTGTCGCATCTGGCGCATCAGTCACATAACTGAGAGGGAGAGGATTCCACCTCCCAAGCTTGATTATTCCTGAAGAAAAAACACACAAGAAAGAAACATTTTATATTTTATCAGCTGCTTACTAAACCCTTTGATAAGTTTGTCTATTTAGAACATTCAGAGAACATTTAGAACAGTCTTGAGACGTTGAAATCTTGCTGGAAAAGATGTTTTATGCCAACTCTTGAAGCAAATCAGGGAGAAGAGTAAGAATAGGTCTTAAATTCCTAGCAGAGAGTTACTAATGTTCTTAAATTACCTTGAAGCAACACGGGGTGCTTCCTCCCTTCACCTCTTTGCTCATGCCACTGAAGCCTGGTTTTCTAAGTTACAACAAGCTTTAAATACTCTGCAGTGCTGATTTTGTGACCTACGAAACTTTTCAGTAAATAAATGTATTGTTTTTGACTTGAACAAGAAAATGTCCACGTGTGGGTCTCAGCACACAGTTGCACTGAACCAAGGTATGATTCGCGGGGGGACTGGTACCAGAAACCCACAAAGCAGGTAGAGTCCATTCCCAGCTACAAGGTGCCCGAGGCAGATGGTTGCTTTTATTTGTGAATAAGAACTGGAAGTTAATCACAGATCCACAAAAATCTGGGCAGTGGGGTGTTAAGGTCCACCTTTCACTTCTGCTCCTTCTTTACTAGGGTCCATGGCCTCTCCTGGCCGGCCTGGGGTCCAAGCCTGGCTGGCAGACCGCTTGGGGCAGAGGTGTTGTCCATGTTGGACACTTGCCGCCCGCGCCAGCAGCAGTGCCCGATGGCCAGGAACGGCCTCCGGCGAGGCCCCAAAAACCTCCAAGAACAAACCTCGCTGGAGAGCTGGAAGAATGCTGCAAGGCCAGGAAGCTTCAACCCTCTCCCCTCACTTGCCACTCCTGGTGCTTCACCAACACTGGATTTAACCATACTGGAATTAATGCCAAAGACCTTTTATCCTAATCTCCCAAACCTCATCGTAAAGCAGTGCTGCTGAAACAGCAGCTCCTTGCACGAGGACAACAACAGGAGCACACGAAATACCTGCTACAGAGCATTTTTTCTCATTCCTACTTGTGTCGAGGAGATGATTTTACTACAGCTCCCCTTCTGTAGGGCTCCAGCGTTTGCATTTGCCACTGCCGTACTGAACTACAACGTACCCCCACCACACACAGAGGGAAGTGGGAAGAGACCTTGTTCATCTTCAGTAGCTGGTACAGATGGGCTAAGATTTCAAGAGCAGATTAGAAGGCTTCTGGCAAGGGGAGATCTTGTCCAAATGAAACAAAAAGTTACTAAGTGTTGCTTGATATCCAATGCTTGAAAATGGGACATAAACAGAACAAAAACATTTAAATGATGCACTGTTTCAGTATTAAGATTTAACAATCTGGTGCTGAATATGCTGCAGTATAAATAGTGCCTGGACTCAGATCCAGCAGAGTAACACACAGCGCTCATTCACAGCACCGTATGTCTCCAGAGCTGGCTCCTCGAGTCATATTCCACTTGCCAAGAAAAGCTGTTTTTCTTAAGGGGATAGTTTACTTAATGCTATCTCTGGTGACAACAAGAAATGCATATATAGTACAGCATATATTAGTCATGAAATGAGCATCAGGGGTCCACTGAGTGAAATACACGCTGGGAAAACACAGTTTAGCTGCTGACTTCCTTCGCCCCCTTCTGCTATATAATAACCTAAAGCAAAATTTGCCCAGAGAGGTTGTAGAGTCTCCTTCTCTGGAGATCTTCAAAACCCGTTTGGACGCAGTCCTGTGCCACGTGCTCTAGGTGACCCTGCGTATGCAGGGGGCTTGGACTAGATGATCTCTAGAGGTCCCTTCCAACCCTAAGCATTCTATGATTCTATGATTCTATGATTCTATGAAAATCACCTAAGACTCCAGAAGCCCCCAGCAGCTCCGTAGAACCGTGCCTTCCCGCGCCTTAACCACGCCAACCCTCATGTAACTGAATAAAGAAGCGTCGCACGCGCCCTGCAAGGGCCATGTGCCTCGGCAGCGCTTCCCGAGCGGCTCCACCCTGGCTCAGCGGAGGCGGCCGGCGCAGAGCACACAGAGAGCAGGGGTCGCCCCTGCAGGCAAACCTGCCCCCAAACCAAGGGGCTTTCAGGCAAAGCCAGCGCGCGGTGCAATGGTGCCACTGGGATGCGCCGTGTGGAAGGTCTTCTCTTCCTCCAGAGCACGCCAAGCTGGTCCGAAGGACAGCCAGGGGCCGTGGTTTCCACCCACCTCCTCAGCAGACCTCACAGGTGGTCGGTTTGGTGGCACCTGGTGCTGTATTTGAGGCAACACTTGGGCTGCAGCTGGGAAGATGATGCCAACGTGGTGAGCTAAGCAACTCTCAGCACGCTAGAAGACTGGTCTCTGAGTAACTCCTCAGGAAAACTTGAGTGAACCAGAATATTCCCCCAGCTAAAGGTCCTCTTCCCATCCAGGTGTGGACGAGAGCCCCTGGTAACAGGGGGTCCCTTCCACGTGCCCTTCTTCTCTCACTGATCCAGGCCATGGGGCTGGGGACTTTGGTGAAGTCACTCCGACCTGGCTGAGCTGCTACTCTGTCACAGCCGAAGATTTTGGAGTGGTAAGGAAAAAAAGCAAGGGCACTGTCGGGTGTTCAAGAAGCTGTCACTGCTCCAAGGATGCTGCTCCCCTGTGGGCTCCAGAGCTTCTCAGCACTGCATGGAGACAACAGCCAGCAGACAGGAGTGCTCGGGAAACCCGCACGCACATCTCTCTCAAGTCCACAGACTGCTTCGGTCGACACGTCTAGGTCTCCTACACTTATCAATGATCTGCTGGGGCTTTTGGTTTTTTGTTTGCAAGGAAAGTTCAGCAGAGTCCAAACCTTGCGCAGGCTGCAGAAATGCTCCTACACCGGAACAGCTCTCAGCGACCCATGGGACAAGGCTGAATGCAGCCAGCTAGTCAGAGACAATAAACAACAAATAGTTTCCCTCAGAAGAAAGCCCTTCAAACCCTCTTTTATTCACGCTGCCTGTTGGCTCTTGGATGCCGTGTGGTGTGAACTTCTGCACGGCTGGGGGGGCTAAAGCAGACTTCTGGAATAACGGCGTTAAACACGGCCATAAAGAAGCAAAAAGACAAAAAGCTGCTTTCCCAAATAACACAGCTAACCCGAAGACCCTTTGCAATCTGACACAGCTTACGTTGCGCATGGAGGTGATTTACTTATGGGCTACACTCGGTCTTTCCAAGCTGGAAGACAGTCATGCAGCAGGGTACAGCCGCTCTCAGAACTCCACACGTGGGGTTTAAAACAACACGCTTCACAGTCCAGGACATGTGTTGGCCATGAGTAGAACGAGCTCCAGGTCCTGCACCCCCATGCACACGGACAGTTATTTTTGTAAAAACTCTTAAGCTCTAGCGGAGTTTAATGTGTCCGTGTGAAAAGCTGTTCCACTTTTAAGAGTGAAGTAGCTCCTGGAGCATCTCATGAAAGCCTGGACACGTGAGCCCATCACCACTGCAAAATTCAAATCCTTAGAGGCAGAAGAGCTTCCACGTTGCTCTTTTGCAGCCAAGAGGAGAAGGCCCAAATGTGCTTCCTGCCATTACTAGCTTCCTTCACAAGCCACCCCTTGCCCGCCACCATGGCTAGATTCCTGATTTCATCTTTCAGAAACTACGAATTGCAGCCTCAGTGGATAGCTGTGCATAGGTCACGAGGGATTAATACAACTTCCCTAAAATGTTAATCAGCTAGGGCTAAAATTAAGTCACAGGACCAAACCAAGGACATTTTTGGATGTTCACATTAGCATCCCTGTCCTTACCTCAACATTTTTTGGGGGACAGCTGTAAAACAAAACATCAGCAAAACTTGCCCAAATATATACAAAGGAAGGAAGAGGAGGAATTCTTGCTATATGGCTAGAGAGGAAGAGGAGGACTGCGAAGGATTCCCTCTCCTTACCAAGCTTTATTAAGCAAAGAGCGTTTGTCAGAGCTAACCCAGCTGGACCCAGGATGCAAAACATGAAAAACTCACATTTTCTGCAGAATAAGCAAACATAACCTGCTAAGGCTCACGTGGGGCTGCAGATTAGCATTAATAGCCCAACACTTTTGATCTATTTCTTACAGAAATTAAAACCTGCCTGTCCCAGATCAGGAGTACACGGAATTAGTTCTCCATAAATCGGTCTGCAGGAAATCGCCACCCCGCAGCTTAATGACTCAGCCTGCGCTTCCAACCTGGGCCTGGCTGCAGTTCATCAAACCGCAACGGCACCAAGGCACCGTTTGCAGTTATTATTATTAAGCCGGCAATGGGAAAGACTTTTCAAGCAGAAAGGATAAAATAGCAACAGGACGGTGTTAATTCTGGTATTACATTATCGAGCTGCTTTTCCAAGCTCCTATGGCACTTATTATATTATACTGCCTTTGCCTCTCATTGTAAGGGTGACCATATTATTCTATTGAATTGCAATCAGCGGCATGTTGGGGTAAGAATAGATGGAAAAAAATAATCAGCATAATCCTCCTTTGCACTTGTAAAGCGCCTTTGCTGGGAGGATCCCAAAGCACTTTACAAACATTAATTAATTAAGTGCCCCTGCGAGGGAGCCTCTGTTATGGCAGTTGACCTATCGGTGATTTAGCGACGGGAAGAGCGCGGCCTGCGCTTCCTCCCGCGGCGCCGCGCTGCTCCGGGGAGCTGCCGGGCCGGCTTTCCGGAGCGCCGAGGCTGCCGCCGCGCTCCTGCCGCCGGACGCGGAGAGCACACACTGGGCAGCTCGCTGCCTCGCACTGCCCGGCGTCAGGTTCACGATTTACCCTGGGAAGACTGGGCCTTGTGTAACAGATGCTGCTTCGCATTTGGGAAACGTTACGTGAGGACCCTGGCTTTTATTAGATTAATTTAACATAAGCACTAAGTTGCTACCCTAAATGAATAAAGATCTTCTTTAAAAAAAAAAAAAAAAAAGAGGGGGAGAGAGAGAGAGAGAACAGAATGAACCCATAAATTAAATAACGTTTTCTAAAGCTT